GGAGTGAAAGGGGAGGGGAGTTTGCAGGAGACAATTAGTTCAATTCATTAGGGTGAAGATCTCTTCCTGACGTCTTGCCGAGTAACTGCTGCTACAGCATGGCATTTGAAAGATATTGGCCTGGCAACTCTCCAAGCCTGATAAAGGTCTGTAGTTGTGAAATCTCATGAAAGATTGTTGGCTGGGACTTTGCTGGAGAGGAATGCCCTTTAACGGAAATAAGAGAGATTTTATCAGGACAAGGAGTCTGCTTCATGATCTTAGGAAGCCTAAGTCAGAACAGTAAAAAGGTTTGCATGAGCCGTGGTAGCACAATGGTTAGAATGCAGTATTGCAGGCTAATTCTGCCAACTGCTAGCAGTTTGATTCTGAACGGTTCAAAGTTGACTCAGCCTTCCATCCTTCCAAGATCGATAAAATGAAGACCCAGATTTTGTGGGCATTATTCTGACTCTGTAAACCAATTAGAGAGGGATGCAAAGCCCTGTGAAATGGTATATAAGTCTAAATGCTATTGCTATTGTAATATTTGCCCACCCTCCTGCAAATTTGATGGTGCTACTGGATAGGTAGCATTTCCTTCTTGCGATGAAGCACTCCCCCCCCCCAGCCCATGTTTAAGCTTTCCTAGTAATGGAAAGTCCAGTCATTATGTACAGCATTGGAACAAATCAATTTGGCTATTAAAATCATCTACTCTAGAAATTATGTAAAAATAGATCTTAAACTCCAGTGGTCTCTGCAGCCACAGGTGACATTGTGACATTTCTGCCTTGCTCTCTCTTCTGGCCCACAGTTCCTGAAAAATAATAATGTTAATTAAAATATTCAGACTTTCCCTTTCAATACACATTATGGGGAAAGGTCGACAGGGAGATGGAACTTAAAGTGTAAATACAACCTCTTATCCCAGAACTTGACTTCACCAAGAGCAAAAGGGTAGTGAGGAAAGTAAAATATTCCTGCTTGTGAGTAAAATATGCTCAGAACACATAGTTTCCAAACAGGAGTGGACTTCAAAAATTTTAACAAGAGGTTTTCTGCCCAGGGGGAATGACCTAGTCAGCCTCGTGGACCGCGTGTGTGTGTGTGTGTGTGTGTGTGTGTGTGTGTGTGTTGGTTTTTCCCTCCCCAGGCTCCAGAGGCTTTCCTCAAGTCTCTGCGAGGGTGAAAATGGCCTCCCCAGGCTGGAGGCCCTCTGGAGGCCAGAAATGGGCCAGAAATGGACTTCCCAAACTTCTGGTAGGCCTGTTTTATGCCCTCCCCAAGCCTCCGTGCACACACTGCACTTACCTGCATCCAGAATGGGTCACATGGGGACTCCTGGCAGGTGAGTGGCTGGGCCAACCAGGGCCAACAGAATCTTAACTAGAGGTTCTCCCGAGCAGCCCTGATTTCAAAAGTTTATACCATAGAAACCTGGTATATTTGTTCATTACAGATGAGAGACTAATGGGGTGGACAATTTGCAGGATCAATAAAAATGAAAAGTCTAGCAAAAGCAAAAGATTTTATTGATTCTAATAACACTCCCAATAGTATATCCCCCATCGCCTGGGAGCCCCACAGAGAAAGCCTTCTTCTGCATGGCAGGTAGATGAGTCTTTGAGAAGGATGACTCCAAAACATTTCTCCTAATGAACATAATGGCTTGATAAGCTCCTAATAGCCCTTAAGTCATTTAGCTAGTCAAGTCTTAAGCCATTCAAGATTTACTTTAGAAAGCAATTTTATCTTAAATTGTCCATTAAGCAGTTGGAAACTAATGTAGAACTTCCATGGTATCCGTATACCTGGTACTGGTTCAAAATCTAGCTACTGCCTTTTTAAAAACAATTACAACTTTGATACCTTTATTGTAAAGTGCATTTCAGCGGACACAGTGGCTGCAACCTGGTATTGTCTCTTCATTAGGTTCCGTGCCACTGTATATCCCTGTCCCGAATCAGCCGGAGAACGCCGAGAAATGGCTGCTGGCGTCAACACAAGGATTGAAGATCTCAACACAGTAGGTAGTCTTTAGCTTTGCTTGGAGTAATATCAGAGGTGGTATTCTACTGGTTCAGACATAGCAGAAGTTGTGGGTGGCCATGCCCAGCTGCCCCTGCTCTACAGCATCCCATTTAGGCTCTTTTTTCACCAAAAGTGCATGTGTGTAAGGCTGTGTGCATGCGCGGAGGTGGCGCGTGTGAGCGAAGTGACCACATGCGCATGCACTCATACTTGTGAACCAGTAGGGAAGGTAAGTAAATACCACCCCTTAGTAAGATGGAGTGTGCCTTAGGTCAGCATGTGCCAATCCTTAGCAGCTGTTGGAGCTCTGGCAGAAGTGGAGAGTATGTAGTTCAGATATGTCTCCTAGCATCCTTCCTATGGTGCCAGTCAGCAAGCAGTTGGGTCTAGAGACCATCCGCTGTGATTCTTATAAGGCTTCAGAGCCACATCACTTAGGGCGCTATGGGAGATTTAAATGGCAGCTGGTAATAAAAATAAAGCACCACTGTGGTTGCCATCAGGACTAATAGCAGATAGAACAATAGGTGGGCATAGTATAGAAACTGCTGATATGGGATGGGAGTGAAATGTAAGAAGCTGGAGAATTAGTCAAATGGTCCCAATAATGGGGTAGAGCAGTAGTGTCAAACTGGCAACCCGCAAGCCAGGTGCGTCATGTGTAGGCCACGCCCACCCCAGCTCCGCAAAGGGGAAAACATCATGGCAACATGACACCCGTGGGGTAGAGCAAATATAAACTATGAATCTAAGCCAGTTCTTTCATCATACACATGTGTCTGTCTGTAACTGCCAGAATTTCTCAACCAGGAAGGGCATTCTGCAGGCTGGCTGCGGAATTTTAATAGGGTAGTTGTAGCCCATACGTTTGTTGAGTTCCTAATCTAAACTTTTGCCCCTACTTACAGGTAATCATCCAAACTGACTCCCATCGACAGGGGCTATTGAAGGAAGCATCTGCGAACCTGTGGGTCTGGGGAATCAAAGTGAAGAAAATGAAAGCCATCTACCACATCTTGAATTCTTGCAACATTGATGTCACTCAACAGTGTGTCATTGCAGAGATCTGGTTCCCTGTGGTAGATACCCAGAGGATAAAAGTAGCACTAAATCAAGGAATGGTAAGGAGAATTCTGTCATTTTTAGCAAACAATATTTACTCAACTGAGTGCCCTGAATCTGTGGCAGGGTACTTACTTTGCCTGCAAAAACTAGAGAAAAATACTAATAATGAATTATTACTAGATCAGTAATCAAGGAAAAAACAATAGTGTCATCAAGTAACTACCAAGAAGAAAACCACATCTAACAGTAAACAATAACAGAATTGGAAGTGACCTTGGAAGTCATCTAGTCCAACACCCTGCTCGCACAGGAGACCTCTACTAGGGATTCAAACCCACAAACTGCCAACCTTTCTAATTGACAAGCTCAGTGTCTTAGCCACTGAGCCACTTAGTCACAAAGGAAGTTTAACAGAGTTGGAAGGGACCTTGCAGGTTATCTAGTCCAACCCCTGCCCATCTGCCTCTACCTAGGATTGAACTCACAACCTCCTGATTGTGAGGGGAGAGCTCCACCTCTCCACCAAAGCTGGCAAGGCAAGCTCCTGTATATAAACTGGGAGCAAACCCCAGACCCTCCAGCACTGAAGATATTCCCTTGTTGGATAAGGAAGCAAACAACCAATCTCAGAGAGCACCAAGGAATCCCCAATTCAACCCCAACTAATATATCCTCTTCTATTGGAAAAAGGACTGGTGGTTGTTGAAATACTGCAGAAAGTAAGGAAAATGACCTTAATGGAATTATGTAAGCTCTGTTAAGCAATTCAACAAAGGGGTGAAAAAAAGTCCACAAGAGAGTGATGATAATATACCTCCAGATACCTCCTAATTCACAGGTGTATAAGAAGGAGGAATAGGTACAGCACAGACAGAATTGCAAGATTCTGTTGTTACATCCAAATTTAGTAAATATACTTTTAATCTTTTTGTGGAATTGATTTCCAGATATGGCCTGCTTGGACAGATAATTTATCCCAGTACACCAAATTATTTTTTTCATGACGCAAAATAAGGGAGGATCTCCTGGTACTCAACTTCTTGTCTCTGTTGGAAGTAGAAACGCTACTGATGTATACATTCTGCTGTGTACTTAAAAGGGTTCAAGCTGGAATAACTGAATTTGGAATAAAATAAATAAATAAATAAATAAATAAATAAATAAATAAATAAATAAATAAATAAATAAATAAATAAATAAATAAATAATAAATAAATAAATAAATAAATAAATAAATAAATAAAAGGGGTTATCTGTGCTAATTACTACAGTATTGTTTTCAGGAGCTCTAGAAAGTCTCTTTTTTATATAAATACAAATATTCTAGATTGTTGTTATAAGTCTACTGCTGTGTTTAGCTTTTGTCTGTTTATTTTATTCATTATTTATTTATTTTATTTCATCAAGCATGAATTAGAGAACAGATATAAGTACTGTATAAACATGATTATGAATACATGATTATGAATATGTGAAATGGATACGATAACAAGGGAATATTAGGACAGGGACTGGGGCTGGTGTGCTTATGCACACCCCTTAAAGACCTTTTAGGAATGGGGTGAGGTCGACGGTAGATAGTCTAAGGTTAAGATTTTAGGGGTTTGCAGAAGAAACCACAGAGTCAGGTAGAACATTCCAGGCATTGACCACTTGTATTTTCTGCAATCAAGTTTGGAGTGGTTTGCCATAAGTTTGTATCTATTGTGTGCTCGTGTGTTGTTGTGGTTGAAGCCGAAGAATTTATTGACAGGTAGGACATTGTAGCAGATAATTTTACATACTCCGCTTAGGTCGGATCGAAGACGGTGAAGTTCTAAGTTGTCTAAGCCCAAAATTTCAAGTCTGGTGGTATAAAGTATTCTGTTGTGAGCAGAGGAGTGATGGGCTCTTCTTGTGAAATATATCTGGACTCGTTCGATTGTATTAATATCTGATATGCAGTGCGGGTTCCATAAAGATGAGCTGTATTCAAGAATAGGTCTAGCAAAGGTTTTATATGCCCTAGTTTGCAATACAATATTAGCAGAGAAGAAGCTTCGCAAGATTAGGTTAACAACTCTTAATGCCTTTTTGGCAATGCTGTTACAGTGAGCTCTGGCACTTCGATCATTAGAAAAGAGTACTCTCAGGTCCTTGTCAGAGTGGGGATTGTCTACGAGGTCATATCCACCCAGCTTGTATTTTGTGTTCTGATTTTTTTTTTTTTTTTGCCAATGTGTAAGACAGAGTATTTGTTGGTTGAGATTTGAAGTTGCCAATTGTTTGACCATTCTGACACATAGTCAAAGTCTTTTTGTAGGGTAGCAGCATTGTCGGTGATGTTGAATAGTTTTACATCATCAGCAAAGAGAACACAGTTGCTTAGATTATGACCACAAAAGTCATTTATGTGAATTTTATTTATTTTATGTAAAAGTTATGTGTCTTCCTTTTAGGCTGCTTTTGACCAATTCTGACAATTTTTGATATTTGCTAATGTTTATTCAACATCAAACTAGCTAAATTGCTTGACACGTGAGTGGCTTGTGTATTTGCTTGGCTCTAGATAGAGGGATTCCAAGACAGTGTGTTGGACACAAATTAAACTAGAAATAGCCCGCAGTTGTTTTCCAACAGTGGGAAAGAATCCACAAATTCTCACTGACAGCTCCCTAAAGACTTTTCCTCCCATTATTCTTTGGTAAAGGCTACAGATGTGAGTACAATATACAGCCAATTTTAACACTATACTGTAAGTGTATTTATTTATTTAACTGGTTTGGTAACCTAAGACCCAGTCTGTTGAGATTCTAGGCAGTAGACCAGTGCTTTTCAACCCTTGGCAACTTTAAGCTGTGTGGATTTCAACACTCAGAATTCCCTAGCCAGCATGGTGGCTGAGTAATTCTGGGAGTTGAAGTCCACAAGTCTTAAAGTTGCCAAGAGTTGAGAAACCCACTGCAATAGACTAACAGGAACATGGAGTTAGAAGAAACCATGGATGTACTCACTGCCTAATTCTAATCATTGTTGACTTGATCTCAGGAACAAAGCGGTTCTACAATCAACCCCATCCTGACTGCTCTACAAACCAAGTTGGAACCTCCTACCTTTAACCGAACGAATAAATTCACTGCTGGATTCCAGGCCATTGTAGATGCTTATGGTGTTGGGAATTATAGGGAGATTAACCCAGGTATATGGACTCTGATTTATTTTTGATCCCTTTTTTTAAGATAGCAGGTTTTCAGTGACTTTATTCACTGCTGTTTATTTCTTTTATGCCAAATGTATCCACGTGCTAATGATCATTTAGCACCTTTGGGGTAGATTGTCGACATATTTGGCCTTAGAAGAGAGAGTCAACCTATTCTCCAAAGCACCTGAAGGCAGGACAAGAAGCAATGGATGGAACTAATCAAGGAGAGAAGCAACCTAGAACTAAGGAGAAATTTCCTGAGAGTTAGGACAATTAATCAGTGGAACAACTTGTCTCCACTAATTGTGGGTGGTCCAACACTGCAAGTCTTAAAGAAGAGACTGGACAGCCCTTTGCCTGGAATAGTATAGGGCCTCCTGATTGAGCAGGGAGGGTTTGGACTAGAAGACCTCCAAGGTCTCTTCTAACTCTGTGGTTCCATTCTATCCTAATGGTTAAGGCAACCAAGCTAGAAAGCAAGAGACCATGAGTTCATGTCCTGCCTTAGCCATGAAAGCCAGGTGGGTGGCCTTGGGCCAGTGACTCTCTCTCAGTCCAACCCAATCTCCCATGGTTGTTGTTCTGGATGGAAATAGGAAGAAGGTGTGTTGGATATGTTTGCTGCCTTGAGTTGTTTGTAAAAATAATAAAGGTAGGAAGTAAAAAATAAACAAACAAAATATTGCCACCTAAAATACTGCTTCTCTTACAATATACATCCAATATATATCACAGGTAGAACTCAGAGCTAGCCAAGATGAAATTCAGAATAAGGCATTGAAACTTTACATTTTTAAAGGTCACTATAAATAACCAATATAGGAATAGACTGCCTGGAAACATATAAAGGATTTTTTTGTCTTTTTTGTTTCTATAATTGTCAGAGGCGAGGGGTTTTTTTTAATAGAGATTTTTGAGGATTAAATTTTTTAAAAGATTGAGAAGTTTTGATCCATAAACCTATTAGGTCCAGATCATAAAATTATACAATGTTTTATCTAAAAACATTTAATTCCAGATATTCAGTACAATTGGCCATGTTCTATTTTATAGAAGTTAATTATAATTGCCACTTATAATTCATTCTCTACTTGGGGTACTTCAACTCAAAAGAAAACATGCTTTTAAATTAGCAGCCTTTCATTATTTTATAATTTATAATTTTAAAATTATAATTTATAATTTTATATATATGGAAAACAAGCATAATATACTGTGTAACAGTGCCATCTGTTGATTCCAACCTAGAAGGCATGTTTTAAATTTTTCATTGAAACCCAGTGCATTAGTTTCTGTTCAAGCTTTGGTTTAAAGAGGGGTTGGTCCTTACTTAAGATAGCAGGTTTATCTCTGATTCCCAATTGTAGTCAAATATGTACCTTCTGGCATCGATAGATAAGGAAAACGTTGAAAAGTGTCCATTACTTCTCAGAAATTTGGGAAACAGACTTTCAGTGTCTGGTAAAAAGATTCTTCGATCCGTACGTTGAATTTGGAGGCTCCTTACCACTCAAAAAAAACCCAAAGTTGTTTGTAAACTGGTTTAGAATCCCTTGCTTTTGGGTGGGGGGGTGTCTGGAAATAAATTTTGTCCCTTCCACTAAATTAGTTGAGCAGAGAAATGTGTTTTTTTTTATTCCTAACTCTTCTGGAGTAATCCTTAACAGCAAGACTAGGCAGTCGGTGCCTCCAACTAAACTGGATTTCAGTTCTCCTAATTTCCAACTACAGAAACCAATATCCCAAAGGTGCTTTTTCAAGAGGCACCTGGACTTTCTGGTTTTTCTTTGAAGATGTTTCACTTCAAAGAAAAACCAGAAAGTCCAGTTGCCTTTTGAAAAAGCATCTTTGGGACAACCATGACCTGGATGACTGAGAATCTCCATAGACATTTACAGAAACAATGATTTTTCAGATTAAATCATACTTTCGTATTAGGTAAGGAGTTGGCCTAGAAATCAGGAGGCTATGATGTCTAGTCCAGAGATGGTATTCAGCAGGTTCTGACCAGTTCTGGAGAACTGGTAGCAGAAATTTTGAGTAGTTTGGAGAACCGGTAAATATCACCTCTACCTGGCCCTACCCCCATCTATTCTCTGCCTCCAGAGTCCCAGCTGATCAAGAGGAAGTGGGGATTTTGCAGTAACCTTCCCCTGCCACGCCCACCAAGCCACGCCCACAGAATGGGTAGTAAAAGAAT